AGTTGGAAAAATTTTAAATCAACCGGCGTAAAACATAACTATCGCCTCGATATCATTCTGAAGAATTTAGAATCAGAAAACTACTTGAATATTCAAAATTTACACAGCAAAAATTACTCTATATATTGGGATACAACCTCTTCATAAAATATATTCCAATCAATATCAACATCTATATCGAACGGTACCATCATAAATAACAGGTGAAAATGTGAAGATAACACAATACCCTGAAAAATATAACACGCGTATGGAAAAAAATAGCCTTGACAAATGTCAAGAACTGATATTTTTATACAACTAAATTATAGAAGGTGTGATCGAAATGGTTTCATGCAGCAGTAAGCCGAATTATTCAAGAAGCTTATTTATTCTCACCTGATGTAGTCATTGAACTATCCTAGGATGTAATGTATCAGAACTCGGTTCTAATTTACGGAATGAAGGGTAATCAAATGAATAATGAAGTATCAATTACCAAAACAACATCATTTACTGTGAAGAAAGTCAATGGAAATAATCTAAAATCTAAGTGAGTTTGCATTTAGCATAATAATATTCATAAACCTCCATATCAACTATCAAACACGTTAGCATTTCCAATTTGAACTTACATCTATATTATATAGTACATCTAACTAGATTTTTAAGTTTTAAGTTACAAAGAATCTGAGCACCCGAATTCCAAAAGTTCTTCAATAAAATGTGTCGTGACTTTCAAAAACCTTCTGAAACGTCATAATATTAATATCTCAATGGCTTCAACTGAAATCTTATGAGATCACGTGGGAAATAAAAAGAGCATACTTCGCTCAAATTATTTGATAATAAAGTGCATATCTGCTGCGCTGTCAGTGGTGATAAGGAAGCCGAAAAGACTGCCATGCCCAAATCTGAAACTGAATAGCTTCCATCCTGAAAACAATGTGAGATTTATTCACATACATACTACATAGTCTTGAAAAGTATTTTAGAAATAACTACTCAATTAATATTGCCCAGGTGTCGTTCAGCAAAACAATCTTACCTCACTAACACTAACTAAACCAATTTTTGTTAAATATTCCAACATTTCTCGTAATAACTCTTCACTATTACTATTTTGTATTCCAAACAGCGTTTGTTGCACTACAACTTCCAATTCTTCAAACCGTTGTACTATCTGGAAAGAAATTTCATGCAGTACATTTCTTGATAATGACACAGACTACAAAGAAGACATCTTAAATTTAACAATCAGTTATTGAAAGAGAAAAGAAACTATAAAACTACTAATCTTCAATGAGATCAAATCGAGCAAGAACGATGAAAACATTGCTGGCTCATTTAGTGAGCTATTACATCCCGGTAAAGGTCCATTGATCATGTCTAAAAACTAAAACAAAACACTAAATTAAAGCCAAGAATTAGTGGAAAAAAAGTCAGCTGAATGTTTGTAAAAATGCTTTTCGGTTTCACTTCCTCAAATACTGATTTCACAGCCTATACTATATCGCGACAATTATCACTGATTAGCTGCAATACAGTGATTTACCATTTTCTCCTTAAAGAAATTATTATTTTGACCTTTCTCTGCATAAAAAAACAATATTTCATGATTTGTGCCACTACAAAAAGTTTATTTATAACACACTATCAATTGGGAGTGTTACTTTGCCTTCCTCATAACTAGAATGTATGATTGTCACTGCTTCTCCCATATCATCATAACCTGCTCGACCAGCGCGACCGATCATTTGGAGATATTGCGCTTTACACAGTGGTTCCTTACCAACCAACGGAGCTCTAATTATTATTCGTCGAGCCGGAAGATTAACTCCCGCTGCCAAAGTTGAAGTACAACAAATTATATTGATAATTCCATCCTTCAAATATTAAAATTATTTATTTCAATGCACAGTTTTATATCTAAACCGTTTAGAATTATAATGCTTAACTAAATTCAAGATAAAACAAAAGTCTCAGTGGACAGTCGAATTGAATTGAAATTTTCACCTTCCATTGAAATTTTGAACAAAAAAATGTTGAATTTGAAACAGCCACCTGAAAAGCATCTTCGATAATCTTCCTTTCGTCGGCTGTTAAACCACTATGATGATATGCAACACCACGCATAATACTTAATTCTAGTAAAGAAGAAGGTCTTTCATCTGCTTCACTTTTCAAAGCTTTTATTGCAGCTAGTTTTTCGGATTTTTTACGTTCTCGAACAGATCTGAACAGACAAATCAATCTATGAGAATATCTCAAAATGAAACATCATGTCATTCTGAAAGGACTGATAATTCTCATCGCAAACCCATGAACAGTGAATCCATTACCACTAGTAATTATTATATGCGCTAATTTCTAAAAAATTGCAATATAGATTTTAAATGGTTAAGATAAAAAAACAAACTTTGGCATCAGATGTGAAACCATTTTACAGACATTTTCACAATTTTGTTTGGTGGGACAAAAAATAAGAACCGATCGCTTCGGCACAATATCATGCAATAAAAGTACCAGTCCATCTGGATCACGATTTTTTAATTTCTAAAAAATCGGAGTCAACGCAAAATGAAATTAGTCGGACAAANAAAAAAAAAAAAAAAAACAAAAAACATCACTCAATGCAAGCAAGCAAAGTTAAACGATGATAACAAACTTTGGATCACAGCAATACACACATTTTCACCCAAATTCATCTCGAATTCCATTTCCCCTTTTGACTGTATAGTATACAATGAGTTGTCAATCTTCACTTTTTCTATCAGTTTAACCTAAAAGTAATTTAAGAATTGTAACTGTTCCAAGAGTGAAGTAATCGAGTTATATGCACTGGACAGATGGATATTCTCTGCGATTTACATGAATGTCAACTCTTTCCTCTTCTCTTTGCCATTTAAACAAGTAAGCATATCGAAACAATTTTTCGACACATGATTTTCCTATTTGACTGGAAGTGCTGTACTTACAGGGCGAAATTTCGTTGAAAATACTGCTGCATTGAGAAATTTTGAAAGCTGCTCAACATTCGAAAGAGTTGCTGACATACCAATTATTTGGCCAGTTCCTGAAATCACATATCGCATTATATTACTTGAAATTCTGAGAAATCGAATTCATTATGTATTTTCCCTTTCATACTAATTTCCTTCCAGAACACCCTTGCACGTTATCATGCATTTCTATTGAGAACATCCATTCCTCCTTTTCATAGATGAAAAAATCAAATGAAAAAACAAAAAAAAAAACCACGACCTTTTCGTATAAATTTACTTAGTACTTGTTCAATAATTGCTCCGCGAGTATTTTCTCCTATCATATGCAACTGAAACATAAATCAGTAGTATGGATTATTATCTGATGAAATTTGAACAAATAATCCACATTTTACCTTTTAATAGGTGTTCCTCTACAAAGTGCAAGGGAAGTCAGCAAATGGAACCAAATTGGCTAAATAAACTTCATACACAATCACAAAATTGAAACACATTTTTTTGATCATTTACTATGAAAAATTATAGTAATAAAAGATTGATTAGAAGTATATAAGTTACTTCATCCACCACTATAACTCCAATTTCGTCAATGCGATCCACTTCTATCAAACTGTTAATTAACATGTTTGCTTTTTCAATGGTCGCAACATATATAGATCCCCCCTTTCGACGCTTGATTGGTGGTAAACGACCTGAAATATGCAACGATTCCCATTGGAGTCCTGAAGCTGCAAGTAGTGTCCAAACAAAAATAACCCCCACCGCTAATTCTATTCCGTTACAAAATTACGAATATAAATAACAACGAATGTAAATGTTTTTTTCCCTTTTCTTCTTTTCCCTTCTTCCTCAACTGCCTATTAGTGATTTGAACAAGTTAAATTGTAAAGCAGCTAAAATAGAATATGTCTGTAAGCTTTAATTAAACTGAATTTTCAAAAATTTAACTGAATTTTAGGAACAAATATTTGGTCGTCCTAGTATTCAGTTCCATGCAGTTGACTCAAATGGTGAGAAAAGTGCAAAACAAATTATTTAGAATATGCATTTTTCTTTTTTTAAAATCAAATATGCACTTTTTCATACCGTAGTATACAATATCTCATAGAGTTTTTGACATGACTAAATTTATACAAGTAGTAATCGATTCCTAATCTCAAGTTTAAAAAGACTAAGAAAAAAAATACGTCCAACCTTTGTTTGCTGCATATTCTTCCACATAGACATCGCACTTACCCTCGAAAAACGATAATGAATAAACCTAAATTCAGACAATTAATTAAAATGTGTTTGAAACATTTGTGGATGGCCAAATATATCTTAATTCCATTCCAATATTTTTCAAACCCTATAAGAACTTACTTTTTGTTGAACGATTGCAACATATGGTACAATAAAGATGCAACTTCTCCGTCTAATAATTACTTCTCGCAACATCACAATCTGAAATATCTTTTCCGTAAAGATTTACAAGATATCTTTCGCAACTTATGTTTACCATTATTTGGTCATTAACAATTAATCCAGTTAATAGAATGATTTAACGAATCAATGGCTAGCATTTAAATATTTTTCCTAGGAAAAAAGGCATGGCTGGACACTCCATTACTTCAACATAGTAAAAATATTGTATTGATAAAGAAAGAACCTCTGCAACAAGAGTTTTTCCTGCACCGGTGGCCATTGATATAATCATATTTGTACCATTTATCATATGTTCATTATTTAAGCACTGAAATTGCCAATCTAAAAATAACGTATCCTGAATTAAAAGAAAAAGCTAAAAATCAAGGATTGACGAATGTTATATGTTCATAAACTATGAATAACAAGTTCTAAACTGTTATTGTTGCACCTGCTGAGCAATGGTTAATGTTATCAGACTTGTAGACAAAACCATTCTTCAGAGACAGATGAAACAGTATCCAAAGTTGCTAGTATATGAAGACAAATGATTAGAAATTAAATTGTAAATAAGTAGTAAAATAACATGATCACACACCGTAAAATGTAGAAATATTTCGCAAGTTCTTGTAAAGTTCACAAATACTCTTCATCTCCTCATATGCATCACCTCGAGACGTGCTGGCCATCTCCTCATATGAATCACCTCGAGATGTGCTGACCGAAGCCATATAACCAGAATCAGATGTGTTTCTCTGAAAACTATCTCAATTAAACAAGTATTGAAAAAAAAATTTTTTTAAACTTCTCTCTATGAAGTAGTCTTGCAATGACATTGAAATGGATGAAATTAAACTTTCTATGCTACTCTAGTTTAATTATTTATTCCTTCTTTAAATTTCCTTCGTATATGTGTAAAAAAATATGATAAAAATAATCTTCTAGTAATGAAAAAAAAAACTTACTTGCATGTTAATCTGCACTTGCGTTATCTGAGCAAAGTTGATTACTTGCTCGTCTGTTTCGTTTCTTCTTGAACCAGATGAAGCGATATCTGAAAATTATTGGATTTAGTAGAATCTGAAAAGAGACATATTACAATATTAGCATGATAGAATTCTAAACATACTCTCTAACGAATATTCACACAATTTCACAGAAAAAGGAAACGATAACTGTCGAATTCTTTCCAAATACCTATGTTCCGGTGTTGTATTTCCGGTATTTTGAATTTTTTTGAACAATTTCCCAAATGTGACATCCGTTTCGGGCGTAATCGAGATTTATATATCGCTGCACATAATCTGAAATATTAACAGGTTTCCAGAAAACAGCATAATAAAATATGTAAATGCATGAGACATTTCCGCTTCAGTATGTTTAACTGCCTATAAACATAATTTGATCACTACTTTATTTATTATATGAAACAAGAGTGAGTGAAATAAAGTGAGTACTTCCACCTCTGTAACATTTCAGTCTGCTATATAGGTGCTTCACTCACTTTATTATGCATAAAAATTATACTGTCAACATGCAAATTTATAAAATAAAGCCATACAATTACATGCAATTGATTCACTCTAACTGTTCTCAAGAATTCATTTTTTTGTAGTAAATTTAGGAATATGTTAAAAATTTGCTAAATAATTTGGAAATTTGGCAGCAAATTTCAATTTTATATAATTCACTCCCAAAAAAATGTAGTTTTAGCTAGAGAGCATAAATTTCTCACTTCGTTTGATGTGAAATTTTCTAACTGCATAGAAATTTGCTAAGTAAGAAAAATAAGTCTAAATTTTAGCAAAATAAAAACGAAAATAACCTTGGCGATTTCCTCGGTGTTTCCAAATTTATTTTACATGGAGTGTTACCATCACTATGACTGGACAGTTTCATTGGTGTTTTCTTGGTAACATCAGAATGATCAGAAACGACTGATAAGGATCGATTTCGAGGAGACATGTTTGGCTGTTCGGAAAAATTAATGATTCTAAAAATAGTTACACTGAATCCATGCATCATATATACATTTTATATTGAACACGTGCATGATGATAGATGCTTTATTTTTCTTCATTCATTTACCTATTTGTATTTTTAGCTATACATTTACCTAATTTATTTTATCATTAATTTTTCTTTTTTCAAAAGAATTGTCAATGAATGAAATGATTGTTTTTATGATTAAATTCTGCGCCTCTTTTTTTCTCTTTCTTTCCATTAATTCCCCAAAAAATATAATAAGGTTTATTTTCGGATCCATTGAAATCGGAGAGGATGTGCACGAAATGCATGATCTTTTCCTGAATTTATATGTCCCGAAAAAAAACGAAAAAGAAGCAGATAGTGTCAAATGGTACATCCTTTTTTTTTTAATCTTGCTATTACATGTAATACCTTAATTGCTCTCAATCACTGCTACAAAGATCTACAGCACTACACCAACATACCCTCTCAATTTCTCTCGATCACTGCATCTCTTCACATTTGCACATACCTCTATTCTTTACCCTCAAGCACATACACACACACACACACACACACACACTGTCATCATTGGATCCTCAAATTTTATCAATTTGTCGCAACATACCTGTCAGGCATTTCATCCTGCCAGCCACCCTATCCAACCATTTTCAAACTTTAATACCGTCCTTTTGCTGAATGTTATGGTCCGTTAAAAATAATATTCAATGTTGGATTGGATTTTTAACGAGCCATTTATTTTTGGTTCTGAAAAATTTCGTTATTTGATCGTTCAAATATCAAACGGATAAGTCTGCTAGTATTCACGTACGTAGACGTGAACTTCTATAATATGTTGTTGGATTAAGTTGTTCGCATTCCCAGATAAACTTTAGTTGATAATATAAAGCAAATATTGTGAATGAAACAAATACGTGATTTGTGAGTGATATGTTTTTTAATTGCATTTCATGAACAAATATTGATATGCGTGATTTCTGGTGATATAAAGCAGTGTAGAAGTAATATTTTTGGAGGAAAATCAAAATGCATATATGTGTATTATTCTTATTTAGTAAATATTTTTATTCTTTTCACTTTCAGATGACATTTCTTCATTTTGTAAATTGTATGGCATTATCTTATGCACCGTATTTTATTGCGTACAGATATTCGGGATTATCGGAATATTGTTCTATATGGAAATGTGCCCACGCAGCTTTGGCGTATTTTTTGACGCAACTGTGCAAAATGCTCATCCTTGCAACGTTTTTTCCAACCAGTGATGCTAATGGATTTGATTTAATCCCAGTAAGTTCATGGATTTTAGATTCTAAAGTTTTCATTTGTAGTTCAAACTTTAAATTAACTCTAATGTCGTATTTGGACCTTGACTCTCTTTTGAGCTCTGTGATTTCTCATTTAAGTTAGCAGCGGAATGTTGAGCTTAGTATCGTTTTTTTTTTTTTAAATCTTGAATTTTTCTTTATTGTTAGTTAGGTTGCTAAAATTAGAGCCAAGCGTACTGGTCTGCGTGTTTATAAAAGAATGGTTTGTTTTATTAAATTGTAATAAAGATTGGGTTGAATTCAGCGGATACAGTCGAATCTTCAAGTGTATGATATGCTCAGAATTCTCAAATTTTTAATTAGGAACTGATGAAAGCAAGTGCGGATATTTTTGATGTTATGGGTCTGCACGCTGTGATCGTTTATCTAATGGCTGGAAAAAGTGAGATTCGATTCCTGGCTGTCGGTTTAGGTTGGGCATTTGCTCACAGGTAATTTTCAGATATTGTTCTCTTAACTAGTTTCTGCACATGAAAATTAAACTTAATAATTGATTAAGTATGTTTATATCTCGCGAGGGATTTGATTCCTGTTAAGGTCAGGTGCGAGATTTTGGAGCTGTTCGTCTTATCTAATAGATTTTAAGTGATTTTTTAATGGGTTATTTGTCTTTTCTTTGTTTTAGTTAAAAAGGAAAGGGAACAGGATAGATTTCGATCGTTGATTGAGCTCTGAGGATAGAATAAGCTGCAGTTTAGTTAATTATAATGCACAGATGTTAGCTAAACACGATATAAATTCGAAATAATATTCAGCATTGAGGAAAAGAGTCGTTAAATCAACTCTTTTATCAATTGTTAAGCCAAATTGAAAAAAAAATAGTTGAAAAGAAAGCTTATTTCAGTGTAGCTAGTCGTTTAGTCGGTTTTTGGGTTGGTGCGCGAGCAGTGGCATTTCACTGGAAATATATTCAAATGGCACTAAATTCCAATATTGACCTAATTTTTTATGTTGGTAAGATTTCCTTCTCAACTGTTTCGATTCTTTTTTTTAAATTAAGATGTTTCATTTTCTTTATGAATAAGTTTATTTTGTTTCTTATTTTGCCACACATTATTTTATCTATAGTTGATATCCTGCAACTGCTGTTGATGAAAAAAAGACAAGGGATCAAAAATGAAGTAAAGGCAGACATGTGAAAGTCATCAAAAAGTCCCTTTATGCTAATATTCTTTTTTGTCCACAGCAATGGCAGCATTGGTATGGTTATTCACCCGCAATGATCTCCGATTAGGGATGAAACGAATAGTTGCATTGTTGATTGCACTTTGTGTTTTTCATGAGTTCGTTGAGCAGTAAGTACATTTATCAATTTATAAAGTAAATATTTCTTTAGTAGTGCTATGAAAAGGAGCGCATTCAGCTGAACTCAAAATGTATTTTAGCAGGAAAACTGAGATATGTTTTAATATTGATAACACTGTTGAAGTGCTGTTTAGATCATGCAGCAGATTCTTTATGCTAATGTTCGGAATATGATGGAGAATTTTTGTTTAAATATGCGAACTAGATGGTGCATCAAAATTGGACACATTTAGGTTTGAATGTGATAAAAATTTGGTAGAAAAAATATTTAATTCAGAGCGAGTGTTGCATATTTGGGTCTTCGATCTTGGACATTGCTTGGAGCAAGGGCGGCATTTACTACGGGACTTGCGATAGGAACATTGGTTGCATATTCATCGCTTGGAATGCATTTCACGCAATACCGAAGTTAGACGATGTAATAATATAATATACCGAAGCTAAATGATGTAAAATTTTGGTGTAATACCGGGCTCCAATGTGAAAAAAATAAAGGTTTTTTTTTTCAAAACTGAAGATACATATCGAGAGAAATGCTATTCACGATTCTTTTATTTTTCGTTGGATCACAGCAATAAATAATAGAACTGGAAATTGCATTACGTGAAATTTCAAAAAGTTCAAATGACACTCTGATGATTTCGAAATTTATTCCGAGTTTCTCCAGTATTAACAGGTTGGCCGATTAAGTTCTTTCGTTTTCATGTTAATTGTAAACTATTAATCATGCCGCCAACCATGCAATTCGTCAAATGCAGCATTGGAGAGATGAAGTACCGTAACGGACGTGGTACCATTTTAGACATGCCTTTAAACTGTGATTTTATTTCCTAGATACGTTATCACTCAAAAATCCGTTATATCCCGGCAAGCCTTCATACTGATTTGAACGTACCGTGAAATTCTTTGATTCCTTTCATCACACTAGCGGGCAAATTGATCAGTGGATGAAGTTTTTTACATGAAATAACCGATATTACAGCATTTTTTAATTCGCAGGCTTTCTTCGCATAATGAATTAGCAATGAGAAGAGTAATACATAGCTGAGTAATTTTACGTTCAATTTTCATTCACCGTAATAAATTTAGTACAAATCTTTTTCATCATTTTGCAAGTATAAAAATTATACACAATATGCGCATATACATCATCATCCATGCATACGCACAACACACAAACAAATATAAAACATGCAAAGCATATATATAAAAGTAAAACTGTTTTTACATCAAAGAATTAAAGATAGTAAAATTGGGTAAAAGTAATGAATTCACCAAAATTTCGATTAACTCAAAAGGTATACAAGCTGAATTAAATTCTAAAAAGAATTATCAAAATAAAATATTAGATGCAATATTGGACAAGAAACCCTGACTTGCTTCATACAGTGGATAAACAAATCAATAAAATATACAAAACAACATATTCTGCGAACAACATTGATATATTTTATATGACACTAGCAGGTAAACGTTCGAAAGCATCGGAATTCCGACGATGAAAACCATTTACACTCGATGGCGTTCCAGTTAACTGTTGTCCCGGTGATATCCGTCGGATTACAACATCTGACTGTCGTTGCAGTTTGGAATCATTCCCTAACAGTTTATCATTCGTGTAACAGAATTCACGTGACGACAATGAACCAGTAATCATTTCTGGCGCATCCGGAATGCCATGTTTCGGATCTAACCCTGCTTTCAATAATATTGCCGCACAGTCCAGTGCACCAGATGTTTGAGCGTGCCACAATGCTGAACGACCCATTTCGTCTAACATACGAAGATCTGCATTATACTGAAAGATTAAATATTTTAGCGAAGTTTAAAGTTAAGTTCACTTGAAGAAATTTTGCATAATGTAATAAACAAGAATGGGATGTAGTAAGCAAAAATCTATTTACTTATTATTCCACTCATCTTCATATCATTTGGATAATTTTCAAAATTGATAAACAGTTCAATTAAATATGGAATCATTTAGAGCTTTCAAAATTCAGTTTGCTAACTACTAAATATATGCAGGAATTTCCAAAATGAGAAAAAACAGAATTATCTAGGAATCCCAGGTTACAATCTAGATTAAAAAATTTTTTCACAACCCTTTCAAAGATCACTGATGTAATCAAAGGATTGTAAAAATTTTTAAACCATTCAATGATGGAATATTTCCCTGAAGCAATTGACTTTACACTTGCCTGATAAAAGTAGACGTTCTGTAATCGCTCAAAACATATATTCCATCGTAATTAAATATAGAATCATTTAGAGCTTTCAAAAATTATTATTTGTACTGTCTCTCAATACCTCATCAAATTTCTAAAAAAGCTCGAGAAATTTACCCAAACAAGAAGTTGGGTGCAAGCTGCAGATGCATTCGAACATGCAATATGCAAAGCGGTACGTTTATCAGTTGTATCAACCGTTGTTCGAAGATCAGAAGCATTACAGCGTGGTAAAATCGGTAGAAGTGCATTGAGATCATTATTGAAAACGGCATCGAGTAATTGTCGGCCAAGCGGTACATCAACTGTGATGGGTGGAAGAAAACGTTTTCCTTCATATTTGATTTTAATCCATTTTTCCTTTTCTTCTCTAAATATGCAAAATTTAGAACTCTCAGTGAATATTGTAGATAACAGAGAAAACAAAACTATTGAATTTATTGATAGTTTACTCAAAAGAAAAAAAGATTCTTAAACCAACCGTGATGAGCCTGCCTGTGGTTTTTTACCCGGTGGAGCGTCATACTCCCAAACAGCATTTGCTTTCTTATTACCAATTGCTTCCATGACATTCAAATACTCCATTCTAAACGAAGTTAAAATTTAATAAAGAAATTATTATTTACGAAAACTTTCATAAACTCATATAAGTGTACATTCTAAATATGAAGTTTAATAAGTACAGATAGGTACCCAAAAGAAAAAAAAAGACGAAACTTTTATCAAATATACATATCTAAGATTTTAAATATAAAGAATAAAAGAATCCTATGAAAAGCTGTAGTAGAAAAAAGGACGGAATTGGAGTAGAACTTACGGCCAGTCATCGAGATCGAGTGAACGGACTTTTGAAATATGTGAGCCAAGATTCCGATGAATTCCTGAGCATTCAATGCAAATTAATGTCCCCAAATTAAGCGAAGCCCAGTCTGGTTTTGAAGCATCACAGTCGGCACAACTATCATTGCCCAGTATTTGCCGCAAAGCTTGCACCTATTAATAGCTAATATATTCAAATAATCACTAAAAGTTCACTATGAAACCGGTATTATATAAATTATTACACTCTACAGTTTAGAAACAGCTCCCTTTCAGAATATACATTTATCATTACAATTAATTAAGAGTTTGCATTGCAAACAATAGTTGTGATATTCCAAAAATTTCCTTCAATTGTAAATCATCAAAGATCTATACATGTTTCATCGATACCTCATTAATTTATAACTTACAATAATACCAAACTGATATAAAATTTACTATTTCAAAACTAAATTAACACATATATATTGTTGACATTGTACAACTTGATGTAAAAATTTGATGTAAAAATGTGCACGCATAAAATATATCGCTTATATTGCAATATTTTGTACCAATGTGTACGAAAATTAACTTACTTCAGCTTTATTTCCATGTCCACGACTACTGTCTTGTTGTTTCTGACTTATTTGAGCTTGCAACGATTTCTCAATAAGCTCTTCAATTGCGGCAACCCATTCATCACGCTCCTCAACCGAAGTGGCCGAAAATTCCCAACGTTTTTGATCACACGTAATAATTTCAAATTCACAATCATCTTCTAAAACACATTACAAATATTGCACATTCTTAAATAAGAATATTTCATTGCACAAACATCATTTCACACAATTAATTCAAATTAGTCTACTAGCATTCCAAATTAGGAAAATGTGGCAAAAAAAAAATCCAAGAGAGCATAATTTCCGATAAAAATTATTGTAACAATAAATAATTCAATTGCCTTCATCATTTTTAGCAGCTGATCCAAGCCGACGATGTCCTTTCTTTTTTTTACTAGCACTAGCAGTAGTTGTAGCAGGAGTAGCTACAACCGAACTGCTTGTACTTGTAGCCAGAGGCTGTGCATTCTGTTGCTGATCATCACTACCACCGGAAGTTCCTAAAATTCAAAAATGTAGCTGTGTTACAGATTAAAATAATCCATCGAAATAAAGAATGTTTTGGAAAAGTTTCACTGAAAAAAAGATCAAAATTTCAATTTTTTCAAATTTTAATCTTACCTTCACCATTCATACATTGTTCATCAGTGAAAGCTTTGTTATCTTGACCCGTAGAAACATTAGCGTCACTCGTACTTACAATACCAATTGTATGCCGCATTACATTTGAATCATGCAATTCTCTTTTGCAGCCGATATCTTTGACAAGTTGATGATCTCGACTGGATCCAGAAATAACTTGCGTGTGAATGCGTTGCGTGTTTCGTGGTCTTTGACGTCTAGCAATCCGTACCGTTGCTAATCCCAAAAACACTTCCTTACCGGCATCTTTTTCCATATAGTCCTATAAGACCAAAATTCATTTTTTACTATTTATAATAACTTTGTAAACAATAAAATTTTAATAAAACGAATGAGTTTATAAATGATAACATACTTTCAAAGTCTGATGATATGAAAGACGTCCATTGGAATGAAGACAAACATATTTCTTTTTCCATTCCTTATTCAATGTCTTACTACTCCTTTTATACAAATGACCTTGTTTTACGGGTATAGCACGACCTATACCCATACTAATCTCAGCTGCTGATCGATGTGATTTATCATCGTGTCCATGATCTTTAGGTCGTTGCTAAATTTGAATTAAAATATTTACCATGAAATTTACTAAATATCATTCGCAAAAACGATAAACTGTTTCAAAACAAACATTTTCCTATTAGACAGAAGATAACTTAACCAAATATATACAATATATTATAAAGAAAAAATATTACATCATAAACAAAAAGCAATTTACTACATATAATAAATTCTGTAAAGAAATCTGATATTAAAAACAAAAAAAAAAAGAAAAAAAATCTAGCATGGTGAAAAGATTATGACTAATTAATCTGAGATTTACCAAATATATTATAGCATGAAGTTGTAAAACTAATGCACATGTTTATTTGTGATAGTATAAGTATCAATTTCTGTTGAGCAACTAATTTTTTTAAATTAAAATTTAAATAGTATAAAATTTAGCAAAAATTAAAATAAATCAAAAATCGACATACAAATAAATTGGAAATTCGACGATTCCGTCGTTGCGTAGTTGGAGTGGATGACGGTGTTAGCAGATGAGTGGATGAAGTTGTTGCCGCGGAAGGTGATTGCAATGGCATCTGATTATCAAATGTTTCATCTTTAACAAATAAT